GAGAGAGAGAGAAAGTGTTGAGGAAAGAAATGTTAGGTTTTTGTTTTGTTTTTTCAGTGTGAAACGTCTTGGGTATCATCAGACTTCTTGTTGTTGGTTCAAATGTTGTAAGCAGAAACACTGTGCTAAACCAAAACCCAGCATTTAAACCTGTATCATTAAAGATCAAATCCAGTAAAGCGTACTTTCTTCTCACGTTTGTGTATGTGGTGAATTTATTTATTATATAAAGATTTAGTCATTTTGTTTTAAATTAAAATAAGAAATGTTGCCTTGGCAACTAGCTAAAACAAAAATGCTATTTATAATAATTTTATATTACACTTTTATTACAATTCTTAGCTAACTATAATAACTCTGACTTAGATTAGCTGTTTTTTAATGCTATAATTTAATAAAATGTTTTTATTCCACTAATTAAACTACATTTATTTGACATTTGTGTTAACAATTTTGTGATTTCTTTCTTTCTTTCCTTTTTTTCCATCAACAAGTAGCCCTGTCTGTTCCTGGTCTCCATTGAGCAGTGTTGGGGAAAGTCACTTTTAAAAGTAATGCATTACAATATTGCGTTACTCCATAAAAAAGTAACTAATTACGTTACTTAGTTACTTTTTATGGAAAGTAATGCGTTACGTTACTTTTGCGTTACTTTTTAAATCTGGACAGGGCTTGCTTGTTTGTTTTTAAAATAAAAAAGTAATATTTTTGGCAAATATAAAAGCCTTTTCACACCAAAAGTGAAATGAATAAGCCTCAGGCTGAAGGGAAAGTACATGTACGTCCGTACAGTAGAATGCAGAAGACATTTCAACACACTTCAGCAATAAAAAAACACACAAATGTTTGTCTAGAGTAATTTTGGCTTATTAGTATGGTTGAACTGGATCATCGAAGGTCAGAAGCAAAGACATTGGTTAATAGAATGGGAATAAATACATAAAGGATATTTGTGTTGTTTAACATTTAATTATTGCAGGTTTGCGTCATATTCTGAGTTGCATTTTTTTAATTCATTTTGAGGAATACTGAATCTGTGTTTGTTTTTTTTGCGAGTGAGAAGAATTAATGCATATTCGTATCTATTTTAGAACTACAGTAACATCTGATTTCTCTCGACATGGGGACAGGAGAGCTGTCAATCAATAAATTGAAAAAAAAAAAGTAACTTGCATTACTTATCTTCCATAGCATTTTTATTTTCCATACTGTGGAGGTCAGTGAGGACCAACAACTCTCTGATTACCAACATTCTTCAAAACATCTTCTTTTATGTTCAACAGAAGAAAGAAACTCATTCAGGTTTTGAATCATTTAAAGTGGAATAATAGGAATCATTTCCTTTTGGGTGAAATGTCCCTTTATATAGTTTGTACACAGATATAAATTGTACAAAATTAACATTTATTTATTTTATGTTTTTTTTTTTTATCACGTGCTCATCACGCATGTTTCTCGGTGAATCTAGACGAAGAAGGAGCTCATATATAAAGTGAGTTTTCATTGGTCTCATGTTTTAATCACAACATCATTCTCAGACTATCGTCTGTGTTATATGAGTTTTCATGACATTAGTCTTATTTTAGAATGCGCTAATAATAAAGAAAAAAGGTTTGTCCAAACATTTGACTGGTAGTGTATATTTCATTCATGAAATGAGTGATAGTGTCAGTCGCGTTGAGCTGCAGCGTCTCCTCTCCTCTCTCTGGGAAAAGGCTGGATGTGAGGAACAGACAGAGGAAAGAGCAGGATTTCTGACGGAGAGCAGGGCGAGGGAGGCGGGGAGTTGTCTGGAAGGAGCAGAGGGACGTTAAGCAAGCAGTCGCTTTGAGTGATGGGCGGCAGGAAGTGTGGGCGTCGGTCTCTCTGTGTTTGCCCCGCCCCTTTACACAAAGACTCCGCCCAGTTGCCACGCCCACTAGAGTTGCTCCGGTGTCGTTTTGTGGCTTGTTTCCTCTCGCTGTCTGTTATTTCTAAACTCTGTATCCACAGGCTGAAGTCTGACGCCTCATTTTTTACTTGTTTATTTTTCTTTTTTCGCATCACCTTTGGTGTCTGTTCCCGCCAAACTTCTTCAAACAAATACTCTTCCTTTTCAGGCCTAATTCCTGTGTCTCTGCCGCGGGTCCTCGCTGTCCTTTGGCCGTGATGCCAGCGCTGAACGCCGACCACTGGTGGCTCCTTATTCATGGATATCTCATCTTTTTGATGGGTTGCATGTAAAATCTTGGGCAGTGGCTTGTCTTGAATGCATATGAGTCCATTTAAGGGTGAATTTCGGTGAGGTCGATCCATTAACGGGTCAGGACGGTCAACAGACTGACCCAATGTGCTTCGGGTCGTGTTTAAGACTGAACGCAGGCGACGGTGGGGCGGTAAACTAGCAGACAGACCCGTCAGACCCAGCGCACGGAAGAGAGGAGCGGGCCGGAGGTCAACCGTGTGACGCTTTCGGCAGTCCTCACTAGTTTTGACGATTTCACTGGCGATGATCCCGAGTCCAGCAGAACTCTCTGGAGTTTTGTCCATGATGGAGTCTGGAGGAGCAGCAGAGATCAGTGTCTTCAGCTCTAAAAGGCAACGTTCACGCTGCAGATTAATACAGATGTCACTCCTGTTCAATCATTTGCAGTGACAAACAACACAATTCAATCCAACACACTCATATATTACTTGTCTGGGCCAGGGTTTTTTATTTAATTAGGGTCCAGAGATCCTCTGTGGGGCCGCAAGGAGGCGATAGGAGGTCCATAAAATATTTAGAGAAATAGTGTATAAAAGTAATAATAAATAAATGATAAACAAAAATAATATAAACAAATAAAATAAATTAATAAACATTAGTTTAAAACAAATTTAAAAAAATAAGATAAAAAATATGGAGGTAGAGGATTTTATAAATGTTTATGTAAAATATGTGAAATCAATTCTGAATAATAAGGTTAATAAACAATAAATAAACTAAAAATAGAATTGACTAGATTAAATGATCATCTGAATAAAATAAATAAAATTAAAATAAACTCTAAATGTTTAATAACTGTAGAAAATAAATTATAAGGCTAAAATAAAAAAATTAGAATTAGATTACGTTGAATAAATAAATAAACATTAAATTAAAATAAACAAAAAAGAACATGTAAAACAATCAGTTGAGTTAAATGTATTGATTCTGTAAATGTTTAAAGAAAAAGTGTGAAAAAAGTAAAAAAATTAATAAGAAAAATATTAATAAACAGATTATTATAAATGAAAAAAATTATTGATTAAAAATAAACATTAGATTAAAACAAACACATAAATAAATAATAAATGCATCAAAACAAATATACACAGTACTATCACAGTACATAATAATAAATGTTTAGACATATTTATAATAATATGTTTTCATAGTATAAAGTGCTGTCTGTAAGTTTTCAGATGGGGTTCTCTTACATTAGCATAATCATGTTTGGCAATGAAAAGATTGAAAACTCCCGGGTTACTCGGTTAGCAACATCCATAAACTATAATATAAAAATAGATTTATTATTTCAAGAGATACATTTCTGCTTCTGATTAACAAAGAAGGAAAGTACTTCATAGATTGACTTTAGTTGCAATTATAAAAAAATCACTGTGGTATTTCAATGTTTTTTGCACACAGATCATGAAGGTAATCCTTTAAAGAAACTATAATGAAGAAACAATGCCATATAAATTTGGTAATCACACGGTTCCATGGTTTATATTAAAGTAAACATGATCTTAGCATGTACTTTATCTAAAGTCAAACTATTTTGGAAGCAACGTCATAAATGATGTGAAGATTAAAGCAGATTGAAACACTAAACAGAGAGACACAGCAAGAAATGAGAATGAGATGAAGAGAGAAACTGTTAGGAAGTGCAGTTTAGGAAGAGAGAGTGAATGAGAAACAACATCTACCTGATGAAGAGGTCAGATTTACTCACAGATCAACATGAAGAGCCTCTTACAGTCTGATGCTTCATCTCTCATCAAACACACACTCAGTATCTGTTGCCTCTCTCTCTCTCTCTATATATATATATCTCTGTCAGTCTTTCATGTCGTGCCCTTCAGAATCATGCGCGGCTCGCCTCTTTTTTATATCTGTCTGTCCATCAATTATGAAACAGACGGCAGGACAGAAGCTCTGACAAACACACTCAAAATCCTTCATGATTCCTGCCTGACATCCACATGATCTCAGTCAGCAAATAGAGACAAACTGAGGAAATAAAAACCCAGTGACTGACCACTACACTGTAAAAAATGACCGTGAATTTAACGGTAAAAGACTGTAAAAAATGCTACATTTTTTACGGTAAAATTCCGGCAACCACAGCTGCCGTTTTTTTACCGTAAATTTTACGGATTTTTTTTTTACAGTGTAGATTTCTATTTTGTTTATTTATTAAAATATTATTTTATTTATTATATTATTATTATTTCATTATTTTACTTTAATTGTATTATTTTTCTAATTTATTTTATTTTATCAGGAAACCAGTCACTGGTTTTTAGATTTTTACTTTATTTTATTTTTATTATGATTTTATTTTATTTTATTATTTTGATTATTTTCAATTTATTTTATAATTATTTTAATTTCTTGTTTATTTAATTATTATTTTATTTAATTAGGAAACAGATTAGAGGAAAAATTATATATTATTTCCACCACAATTTAATTTTATACAATTTTTATTTAATTTCCAATATTAGAATCAATGCCCACTACATTATTTTTTCTTTTATATTACTTTATTATTTGTTTTCAACACTAGAGTCAGTGCCCACTGTTTTTTTATTTTATTTATTTTATTTAATTTCCAAAATTACAATCAGAGCCCACTACAATGTTTTATATTTTATTTTACATTATTTCATTTTACTTTATTTTAACTTTACTTTTTTATTGTACTTTTTAATTTTTTTTTATTTTATTCAGTTCAGCAGCACTAGCTACAGGCGCTGTAGTGAATCGCGGTGTAGTTGCAGTTCGTCTCCGCGCCGCGGCGTGTCGCTGTACCGCATCAGCTGCTGCGCGGCGGAGGGGAAGTGCGTCAGTGATCCGTGTGACCACAGGACTCCAGAGCTCACGGTAAGAGTTTATTCTATGTCTCATAACTATCATAAACATATGAAACAACACAGAATCTGAAGTAATCCGCTGTGACGCCTTACATACGCGTTCATAAACACTCGCGTAACGCATCAGAAGCTCAAAGACACGTGGAGGTTGAAAACCACACAGATTTACACACAACCGCTGACACACACGAGTATAAACACACATGGGCCTGGTTTCACAGACAGGGCTTAGACTAAACCAGGATTAGGCTATAGTTCAATTTGGACATTTAAGTCATTTTTATAAACGTGCCTTAGAAAACACATTACTGGTGTGCAGGGCAGGACTTAGGGGGGCGGGGGCCGTAATGTGAATTTAACATTGAAAGTTAATGCGAATAAAAACATTGTAAGTTAGGCTACTTATCATAACACTTTCATTGTACAGAAAGAGAGCAAAGAACATTTAAATTATCAAAGAACATTTCCACTGACAGTCTAGAGTTCAAGCACTCTCCAAAGCTCCCATTAAAATCACTGAAGCTGTTTACACTGTGAAATTGGCCCTTGCATTCATAAGCTCAACAGCATCGTGTGTGATTGGTTAATGCGCAGTGCTGTAAAAACGCGTCTGTCTCTGACTCAGCGCCAGCCAGGAACGCAGATTTGAGTTTTAGCAGCTGATGATATGACGCGCTGAACGATTTAATCATGCTGGTGTGATTGTATCAAATATTAACATTAATTAGACAGACAGGTATTTAATTAGGCTGCTGTCCGTTTAAGACCGAATGAATATACCGTATTGTCCCGAATATAAGACAATGTTTTTTTCTTGGAAATACATCTGAAAAAACGCGGTCGTCTTATATTCAGGGTCTAGACTTTGACATGTCAATAATAAACCCACAACAATAGGTGGCGCCAAATACGCATAAAACGAGTGTGCCATGAAATACGTAATGTAATGCGTGTTGTAAAGATCGCGAGTAAAAACAAAAGAAAAAGAAAACCTTACAGCTGCACGAGTCGTGACTGTCACGTTACCCTGATGGGACCAAACTCCCTTTGTGATTTTAAAACGTAAGACAGTACCCAGATTTGAAGACTACAGTAAGATTTAACTTCTACTGTTAATAAGATTTTGGAAGGCTACTATTAGATGGATAGCCTAAATGTCCTAATTCAGATGGGCTACCAGTTTTTTTTATTTTTTTTTATGGTATATCAAAAAGTGTATATTTTTAAAATGTGATTGTTGGTACATTTTACCAGTTTTTACCATACTTTCAAAACAAAAATTAAAATAGGAAAAATATGCAATATGAAAATAATTGAAGACAAAATGTGTTTTACTGACAAAAAACAAGATTTGGCTTTTAAAAAGCCTTTTTCCAAAAGGTACATCTGGAAAAAGGGGGGTCGTCTTATAATCAGGGTAGTCGTATATTCGGGCCAATACGGTAATATACTGACACATATCCGGTTTTCACCCACCTGTTTACGTTAACTTAAGCCATAACGACTGTATTTACGTGAGAAACTCCACACGATTGACATTTTGACTAGAGCCCGACCGATATGGTTTTTTTTGGGGCCGATACCGATATTAGGGAGTAAAAAAAAAAGGCCGATACCGATATATCGGCCGATATTCTTTGTGTATATTATAGTACAGTACCAGTCAAAAGTTTGGACACTTTCCCATTCGTGTGTCCAAAAATTTGACTGGTACTATATATAGAATACAGTATATACATAAACAGAATATATATACAGGTGAATAAAGACTGACAGTCAATGTTTAATGTTTAGAAATTATTATTTCAAGACATGTAAAGCATTTTTGCTCGTTTATGTGGGCCGTCCCAAACTTGGTTGCAATGTGTTCATTGTCAAACTCAAAAATCAGATTATTTTTCATTCTTAAAAAACGCCATTATTTTATTTGAAAAAAAAATAAATCAATAAAAATAATTTAAAAATAT